CTTTCCCTTTCTCTCTTTCACTATCTCTCTCTCCACCTTTCATTCTCTTTTTCGCTTTCTTGTTCTCACAACGATTAGCTGGTTAACTAAAACCCCTGACCAAGCCGAGAAAATCGAATTGATACGACCCGCCTGTGCATACTCCTAACGACTTCGTGACAACATTCAATCGTACAATTTTTCCTGTGGCGTAATGAACGAACAGCCCTTTAGATTGGAATCAGAAAGGACAACGTCAATGACGAAACCATTCGCAGAAAATTTCGTAATATCATGTGTACGCACATAAGGTGTACGGCTTTAACGAAGCTATGGGTCGGGCATTCTCATGTGTGTTTCATCGTGAAATCGATTCTCGTTATGCGATCGACGCGTGTCCGATCGTCGATACTCAGGGCTCGTTTTGATTGGTGTTTCTTTGATTCTCGCGTTCCTCGCGTTCCTTACGTCAACCGGTCATCGAATTTCGTTACCGTCGAAATATCCTCGATCTCGAATGAGGTTTCAATTGACCTAAAAAAATTAACAAATACTGTCTTCCAGCGATAATACCCTCACTGTCGCTGCTACTGCCGATGTTCTACATTTCATTATCCCGTTCTTTTGTTCTCTTCCGTTTATTCATCGATTTGTTCGTGTTTCCAGGTTTCATCGTTTGTTTCTCTGGACAGTCTTCTCACGATTTCGTTTTGTATGCCTCAGTTTCGTTCAGTGGGATTTCACTTTACGTGTATATACGCATACGCGCAATGTCCTTTGGCCATTTCGCGCGTCTGCATCGTTCATTTCTCCTTCTCATTGCACAAATACAGGATTGTCCATACATTTACATTCCGTACTAAAAGTGCAGCTCTATATAAAAGATAACGTTGCTTTTTCTGCGCACAGCAACTTAAGGCGATATAATTATATACGAATACTCTTACAATGTATCTATGTACGAACGCCGGTGGTCCTCTATTAAAAACGTTCCAAAAAATGAATCCTTATTTTGCTCGTACTCCGTCGATCGTATTTTCACAAGTACTCTCTCTCTTTCGCTCTCTCTCTCTCTCTCTTTCTCTCTTGGCCCTTTCTTCTTTTCCTGTATCATATTTATGTTAATGTACAATATCTCAACAACGAGCATCTGCAGCCTGTATATAACGAGTATTTTTTCTGATTTCTTTTAATAAGAATTCTCAATATACTATATATAATAAAGGTCTACCTTTCTCACCCTTGCTCTCTCTCCCTCTCTCTCTCTCTTTCGTTCTCCCTTTCTCTCTCTCTCTCTCTCTCTATCTATCTCTCTCTCTCTCTCTCTCTCTCTCTCTCTCTCTCTCTCTCTCTCTCTCTCTCTCTCTCTCTCTCTCTCTCTCTCTCTCTCTCTCTCTCTCTCTCTCTCTCTTGTTCTCCCTTGTGTCTCTTTGTTTCCCTCGGATGTTGTCCACAGCGAACGATCGATGAAAAACGAGTCGTATATAAATATTACTCCAGCGGAATAATCGTGTGACGACTAGCTATTATAAATACGGTTCGTACCGTGGCAAAAATTTTCCTCAACTAGAATGAAGAGAAGATGTTCGTAGACAAATAGACAACAATGCACGACATGACAATTGATCGTTGGTGTATATATCCTTTTCTCCCGGCAAGTCTTTGAAACCTTTTGTCTGTGCTAAAAGAGGCAGGACGATGAAGAAGAGGGGCGTGGTGTAAAGGAGGCTCGGGGAACATTCATAGAGATTATAGCGACACTATATGTACAAAATAATTCCGGCAAAGTGACGTTTCCGATATTAATAGTAATTATCGAGAGCAATCTTTACACACGCCTCCTCCGTGAACCGGATAATAAAGCCACCTTAGGGAACACACACATATACGTATATATATCGTCATTCTCGTAAGTCAATATGTCAGCTATTTGACTGGAAAAAAAACGATTTTTTTTTCATGTAAAAAGTCGTGGTGGTAGTGGTGATAGTGACTATGTGTGTGAGCGCACGCATGCGCGTATATGTATGTGTGTTTATATATGATATCTGTGTATATGCAATATACGGTAATTTTCTTCAATATATTATATCTGTTTGTTTACCTCTTTCTCCCTTTCGTTCATTCCCTTTCTCTCCCTCTCTGTCTTACTCCCTTTCTCTCAGTTACGCTCAACGGCGCCATTAACCGTGTTCCCTTCGTATACTCTTTCCGATTCCGTTTCCTTCTCGAGTTCGGTCAGAAAATATAGCGCAAAATCTGCCATCTGCTTCTTACGTGCTTATCTTCCTTATTTTCTTTCCCTTTCTCTCGCTACTCTTCTAAACTGTCCTCCCCTCCTCTGTACACTTTGCACCGAGCGTGCCCGCAACGCACACAATCATACACGCGCACGCACACACACGACACGCTCTCTTTCCACCGTGCATACATGCGATACATTCTTTCTATTACGCTATCTCTCTTACGCTCTTTCGCACTCTCTCTCTCCCTCTCCCCCGCTCCCATAATATCCCCGTCTCTCTTACTTCATCTAGCTTACTCGCTCGAAGAAAAGCGAGCAACGAGCGACGAACCATCGCGTATGAATAAATACGCGACACGTGTATCCATCTTCGATCTGCGTGGAAATTCAAAATTCGGCGAATTCCTTGGCGCACTTCTCCGTCAACGAAATCCTCAGCGTTTCCTCCTCGTAGTCGTCGAAGTTGCTCGTGTCCCCTGGTCCTTTGCATTTCGGTATGAACGGGGCTTCAATTTTCTTTTGGAAGACAGCTATCCAATCGGTACTGGCAAACCACTTGTGACCCTTAATATCATTCACACCGGCTTTCAAATTGCCGTACCTCTTGGTAAGATCGACTTGTAGCAAATTACGTAGTAAGTCTTTTAGGTCAGATCCAAAATGCGAAGGGAATCGTGGCTTTCCACTGACAATTTTTTCATAGATCTGAATTGGCTGATCAGCGAAGAAGGGTGGATAACCGGCAGCCATCTCGTAGACAAGGACGCCGAGCGCCCACCAGTCAACGGCTTTGTTATAACCTTTGCTAAGAATAATTTCAGGTGCGAGATATTCCGGCGTGCCGCACAAGGTCCATGTTCTACCCTGTACCTTTTTAGCGAAACCAAAATCCGTGACTTTTAGGTAACCTTGAGAATCGATCAACAAATTCTCCGGCTTGAGGTCCCTATAGATTAAGTCGAGGTAGTGAAGGTACTCGAACGCTAATACGATCTGTGCCGCGTAAAAGCGCGAGTGCGGTTCCGAGAAACGGCCAATTTTTCGTAGATGGCTAAACATTTCGCCTCCTGGCACATATTCCAGGACCATGTAAAGGTACGAGTTATCTTTGAAGTGAAACCGTAGGGAGACCAAGAACGGGAAACTAATCGCTTGAAGTATCCTTTTTTCGTTAAGCGTGTGTTCCACTTGCTTTAGTTTCACGACCTTCTGCTTGTCGAGTATCTTCATGGCGTAATATTCTCCGGTCGGTTTGTGTTGTACTATCATGACACGACCGAACGAGCCGGTACCGAGTGTCTTGATCCGCTCGAAATCATCGAGACCAGCAGTGTTCGTCGGGTTTCTCTTCCACTTGTCCTCGAACTCCTTCTTTGCTTTGTCGAGAAACTCCTTGACGCTCTCGGCAGCGTCAACCTTTTTGTTTGCGGTCGCGGCATTGTTGCCCATCTTAGCAGCCGCGCTCGTACCCGAGCCTGCCAGGGCTCTATACAGCTCGAGAAGTTCCAGAAGACCGCGTCTTCGTTTTCGTTTTCGTTTGTCTTCTTCCGTAGTCGAGCCTACCCCGGCCCCGCCAAACTCCAGTCTCTTCAAAATTGTTGCTATCTTCTACGCTTCCTTTTATTCTGCTCGCTCTCTCTCTCTAGCGCGCGCGCTTTCTCACTTTCTTATCGTCACCGACGATCTGCAATAGTTTCTGTCCGATACTCGTCGATGCTGGCCCTACGAGACCTATGCACGTTCGAGAGGGCACTCACACTTACGCAAGAACAGGGCACACACGCGCACTACACGATGGATACACTCCTGTGACGGATGATCCCTTTCTTTTTTTTCAGTTCGATTCACTTAGCGGCAACTTTGTCTTCTCGCATTCGGTTCGAACCTTAGTGGTCCCTTAATTGTGTGGCAAACAGATACCAAGCGATTTCGCGCGGAAAAATGGGTCAGCATTAATCCTCGTCCGCACCTCGCGCCATCTTTCCTGTCAATTGTACTAGCCCGTCGTTGTCGTCGTCTACTAGAGCCGTCTCAGTCTGTCCTTTCTTATCCTTCTCTCTTTATTTCTGTCTTATCTCGTAGTCTTGTACACTGCAACGACTTTCCTTGACGTGTTTGTCCCACTTACTTGACAAATCAAAACACTAAACACTAGTCGGTTCTCACAGTGATACGCACCGAATGACAAAATCGCAAGTCAGAGACGATAGTTTGAACAAGGGTCGAACGAAGCGAGAGAACGACGTCGGTTTCGATCGCTCTCAACCCTCGAAACGCTTGCGAAACGTCGTCTGCTCAACTTACACGGCACGCACACACAAACTTTAACTCGGACGTATTAAATGAACATCACGAACGAACGTTTATCACGTCTTCTCGCGATAGGTAACAAAGTACACGCTATCGCACTAAACACACAAATTCGTTTACTACAATCACGGACTGATTTTAAGCTCTTAAAACGAAGCAGGCGGCGGTAGCGGAGACAGTCGGTACCGTTCCTAAAGATGGCGACGCGACTCGCTCCGCTTGTTCGTTCGAGATTTCGCACGGATGCGAAAGTGACGAAGTGCCGCTCTACGAAGCGAGAGAGCTACTGTACTGCACATATCAGCTATTGCTTCATCTTATCACCGGTAGATGTAGCACTGGGAGGTTTAACAACTCCCTCGATAAGTGCTGCCACCAAACGAAAGCGTCGACGTACTTTAAATTCAAAGTAAGCTTTTTCTTTCTTCCAAATCATCAAGGTTTCCACACTGAATTGTGGAATATTTTGTACAACTGTGTGTGTCACTGTATCGGTGGAAAATATAATTCTCTGAGTCATCGGGGAAAAAAAGTTTGCAATATGTTGTGTGAATAATTTGTCAGAATTATGTTTAAAAGTTATTCGTTTAACGAATATTAACAAAAATATCTTTAAACATTAATCGTTAAAAAAAGATTGAACAATTTTTAATTTATTATATTCGCTTAATCAAATTCTATGATTATAAAGTAGTTTTAAAAAGATTTCTTGTTATTGTACAAACGTATGATACTTTGTTAGTTCAATTCAATGAGTTCTTATAAATTTTAGAAACTTGAATTATTTCTGCAAATTGTGTACTATGTAATATATTTTCAGAATATTGATATTCGTGCTAAAGATAAAAGCCTACTCTCCGTAGTATCTTAACCTATTTTTGTTTTGTGTCGGTAAATTTCCTAATAACCTAAAAAAATAGAAAGGTTATGGAATTGTTCTCATCATTTTATTAAGGTTATTTTATTGAATTAACTCATCGTATTATAGTTATTTTGTTACAAGCTAATCCTGTGTTGAGTTTATCGTCAATTTGGTAGTTTCATTGCTATTAATAATAATCGACCTGTTTTGTGGTATTGAACCGTGGTACGTGCACGGAAGGTTGAACACTCGTTGACCTGTGATAATCCTTTGGCGATTAGTTTCTAACTGTAGATAGGCATATAGGCACAATTTTAGAGCGGCAGATACGGTCGAGAAAGCTAGGTGGAGTCGGTGGAGGACGGGACGAACCGGTTACGTTCGAGTCAAAAAGGTACGACCAGGTCAGGCCTTTCGGATACATACAGTATTTTTGTGTGCAGTCTTGGTACATTGCACACCAGACTAGATAAAGGTGGTAAAAGACACTTCCACTCAAATTGTGTTCAGATGTGTTTCTTGTATTAACTTCAGTTTGTTTCTACCCTATGGGATGCGCGCGTCCACCCGTTCTATTGATTCCATGACCCGTGTGCCAATTTGTGGAAGGAAAGTAGAATCGACTCTACTTATACTATTTCGTGAATATTCTTTTCGAAAAGCTTTCTACGTCCTATATTTTGGCAAATTTAAATTAATATTAATAATAAAAAAATCAATCAACAGTTAAATACATAATACCAAAGGAACACTACATAAACCTAAAAACATCATATAAGTCATTGTTACTTACACGTATAGACGTATATTAATACTACTTAAATTTCTTGCTTCCTTTAATTATTTTTCTTCTCGACACTTTCTAGCATGCAAAAAAACGAAACGGAGCATAATACTCTATAGCATGATGAATAAGAACGCATCAAGAAAAGTGGGAATTTAGTCCAGCGAAATGAAAATTTAGATGCGTGGATGCTATCTTTAGTTTGACACTGCAAAGCCAGTGGAAATATAGGTTACTGTCATCGAAATAGCTTGTGGCTGAACACTTCCACTGACCCACTAAAACGAAATTTAATTTTATCAAGTAATACTGTATGTCACCGACTATATACTTACTTCCTATGATAAAATATCTTTGAACGTTAAGGAAGTTCTATATTAGTTATCAAATTACATACGTATGTATATACGCCGAAGAAATTTGCTTATTAAAAATAACTTCGTTAGAAAAATATATTGATACGTTTAATTTACATCGTTTCAGACACAGAAAAAAATACATGTTGCTTTTTCTGCGTAAATATTGCTTCATGTCGTGTCATAAATAGTGTGCTAGAAACATCAAGCATGTATTACTTTCCTCGTGGAAAGTTTCATTCAAAACCTAACTTAATCTAATATGAATATATCCTCAAGGTTTTACCGTGTAAAGGATATTCAAAAAGAAGCATCTGCTTTGTACGTCTTCACCTGCACTGTCCATAGCAGCTGCTCGGTGTTATCTTCGTGCTTACGTAGACCTCTGGCACGTGGCATATACCGTAGAACAAAAAATACATTTCTTAACAGACTAAACTGACACGTTTGCTTGATTTTTGTGGATATGAAGATTCATGAACTATCGAATATTCGTTCGTATGCATAGAACCATAAAAAAAATGATGTTCTCCTTTTGCTTTCGAAATGATTACAAAACGTTGACAAGATTACAGAATGGATTGTTGTATCTAAACTTTCTACAGTGTGATGCAATTAATTTTTGCAACAAATTTTAGAAAACCACTTAACATTTATTTTTTCGCCTTTCTCGTGTAAAGAGGAAAAGAAAATATATTTTTACATATACGTCATATATAAAAGTAAAAGTAATTATATTTTTCTCTGCTATAATAATCTATTATGTACATACAGATATATATATATATATATACATAGTATATACGTGTATAAATAATAAACTTAAGAAGATTAAAATATATTAAAAATTAAAATATAACATACATAGATCCCTACAATATAAAAATAAATGTCATCTTGGGTATAGGTTATACTTTTGACTAAATTACTTTTGAAACTTTTAAAGTTAACCCTATAATAAAATAACATTATAACAACAAGGAAAAATGATATTTCATTACTTCTTAGTAAAGGCAACCTGTAACATGGACGTAAATGCAGCAGAGCCTTTCAGTCGGGTGCGTGGATCAACCTGAAAGCATCGCGCACCTTTTAATATACACCGGAAATGGAACCATACGCGAAACTTCTAGAACTTTCTGCAGATTGTTTCCGTTTATATTCTGTATATTATCCTTAGTATACATTAAATTTCGCTTGAATTTAGCCAGTATCTTAAATCGTACATAAGATTTAATAGACATTACTTTGAATATGATGCGGAACAAAATACACGTTCCTCAAACAATACGTCGCTAGCGCCGGAAACGCGGGGATTTTTTACGAGTTTCGTAAGATAGGATCCAATTGGTCAATGTGTTATTTGGAGGGGCATTAACAATGCGGTAGTGGTGAAGCTACCACTACCACTAACCTAAAACCGCATAACCGTTGACAGCTTTAATTAAATGTATTACAATACATATGTAACATATTCTTTATTTGAAGGAAAATGAAACCAATGCCGAAATAAATTATTAGATATTGATTATTTTTTAGGGTTCTAATACATTTCTTGTGGGAAACTTTATTGAATCACTTCGTATTCTCAATTAAAATATAGCGGTAAATTTATAATTATTTTCATTTTAAAATAAACTAAGACTAATGAATATTATTGATACTATCATTTAAATAAAATTTAGAAGTAAATCATCGCTTTTCTATACGGAAATTATATTAACAGTTTCTAGTTATTTTAAAATCATATTTACAATGAATATCCTAATAAGAGACTGATTTGTGCGCCATCTGTAAACGAGCGGGAAAGAAAAGTGTTTGAAGGCCGCCGGCCTGCCGGCCGGGCCGAGTAACTCAGGTCTCGAGCGAATCAGTGTGCGAGTCTCTCTGCCATTTGCGCGTCGGTACGCGGCTACGCGGCAGTGGTGATATCAGAATTCTACGTCTGCTTACCGGTGCGTAGAAAACGCAAGCCTTATTAAGTGCGTTTTGTATCTAAGTGCTTTATCGATCACGCAATTAAATTGATCAGCATGGCGGATACAGAAACTAAGTAAGTACTACGAATTTTTTCTATTGATCTGTTATACGAAAATCACACGTTTTCACCAAATATTTTTGTCATGTTTCCTTATCGAATACAATAATAGCGAGTCAACAATATCACTGTTTCATAATCCTCATTTTTATTCATACGCTTTAAATGTTTTAAATTTAAAATTTTTTTCCTTGTTTTGATAATTTTATTCGTATCACAGTTGATTGTATACTTTTGAAAGCGTACGTAGTTTGTACAGACACGAGAAAGGGATATCGGCGAAGGGAGAGGGGATGCTCTCTCTACGTGATATTCTCAGCTTGATTCGTAAGGCGCGTTACGTTCTCAAGATTACCTGCTTTTGCCGTGACATGTGCTCTACTTGTAGAGCCACTTTTCTGGCGGCATCCTTTACCCTTTTATTTTTCCCACTTGTAGCTTTAAATATACAAGACAACAATAAAAAAGTACAATATTTATATTTGTTAATATTTATTTTATGAATATTATAATCGTAAATATTTCTATTATTTGCCATTACAACAATTTTTATTTATGAATCATTTGGTATTTTTATGAATGTAATAAATAAATATGATTGCAAATCAATATAAAATATTTTATAACAAAATTACAATTGTTTAATGTTTACGATAATTTGAACATTTTTATATAAACAAGATCTTTTGATTACTCATATATAAAAAAAACTAGAAATATGTTACAGATGATTGTACACATATCACCTTAAAAAGAAAATGGACAACGTATCGATCTGCTCTCCCTTATCGACTAAATGTCGAAAATACTAGTATTTTATTTTTCATTTAATATTTTTAAGGAAGAATATATAATGCTTGTAATGATAAACATCGGTGCTATTTAGGTTTATTTAAGTTCCAACACTATGGGAACAAATGTATATGTAACATTGATGTATATATTACGGTCCACGAACATCCACGATTTGCCGCGCCGAAACAGTCTGTATGTGTGCGTACGTGTACGTGTGTTCTGTTGAAAGGAGTGGGTTGTGAGAAGGGGGAGACGAAAGCAGGATAATATTAACATCGGTAGGTGCCGCCACGGTTGGCGTCCTATCTCTATTTCTTTTCCTTGTCATTCCATCTTTGTCTGTAGCTGTGAAGTTTACCGCACTAAAGAAAAGGTATCATGATAGAATCTCATTTTAAATATATAGTAGAAATCTTCATGTTGTTCAACGTTTTTGTTTTCATATTTTTTGAAGAATTAGTATTTTATTCATATGTTAATGAATGTCATTAATATTTTTATATATATATAATGATA